CTGGGCTGATCTAAGTCGGGGCCAGACAAACTCACAGATTGAATCCTGAAACGACCTCAGGGCTGATCTAAGCAGGGCGCGGCTAAATTTCAAATTTAGAGAGGAAAACCAAAACTTTGAGAAAGCTGAACCCTTGATTTAAAGAAGAGGACTGACAAACTCTGCTTAGCTGTGACCCGAGTACAGGAATAGTAAAGAACATTAAATAATCCTCTTGTTAAATATTACTAATAGTATTCTTGTATTATCGATGGCAGCCTGTCGTGGCGGAGAGCTGACTACCGTGAACGCCACCTCCCCCATTAAAGTTATCAGAAGTCCTAAAGATGGTGCAAGTCTTGACTATCCACGAAACTCTAACTGTTCTTGGCGAATCACAGCACCTCCTGATCACGTGATCAAGCTAGAAGTGGTATCCAAGGTTTGGTGCGATGTCAACGACTACCTGAAGATCTACGACTCGGACAGTAATGTAGCAGAAGACTTGTTGGACACTCCTTGTAGGTCATCGAGAAAGAAAGTTTATTATTCTACTGGCCAGGATGTTTATATATCCTTTACCAGCAGTGCAGTGGCAATATCTTCGTGGTCCGAATATTCCTTTACTGTTGAATATTCTGCTTTCAAACCAGGTAACACAACACAAGGATCAAACGGAGCGTTCATTTTTTAGAAGGGGGAGGGGGACAGAGGAATAGCTGTTAGCATGTGTCCAAATTGCTAGCTCACCCGGCTTGGTTTTGAAATTTTAAAATAGCCCCCCGATAAATGAAAAATTTTGCAAAAATGCAAGGTTATTAACAGAAAAAATCAGTGAGCCCTCTTTTTTCACTTGTAAATATTTCATACCCCCGTTTATACCTCTGCCCCCCTCTCCCTCCTAAAAAATGAATGCTTCCTTAATAGCGATTAGTGCAGAAACCCTCTTTGGGACTTTGACAACTGGCTGCTTATTAGATATTGGTCGCTAAATAGAGGTTGGTCGCTTTATAGAGGTTGGTCGCTAAAAGAGGTTGGTCGCTTTATAGATGACCTACTTTATAGTGGAGTGAGATTAAATTCAAAATATTTTGTATATACTCAATTAGCATATACCAACTTGTGAACTTCCTAAGAACGCGCGCGCTCATTGGTTAATTGGAGGTGAATATTATACTATATTCACCTCTGAATCTCGGAATATTGAGTCGGCAACAAAATGGCATCTGCCGGCAATCGTTTTGCTACAATTTCCGATGAGGAAATTGAAAAAATGAAAGCAGAGTGACCACAATAAATCCGTGAAATACTAATTACTAAATAGTACAAAATGGTGCTATTAAATTGTGCTATGAATTTGTGCTAAAGTTTCACGGATTTACTGTGGTCACACTAAATGCCATTCCTATCAATACTAAAAAGGCAACCAAGTATGGCCTAAAAGCTTTGTTAAAAGTTTTGCTAAAAGTTTTGCGTGAATTTGTCACGCAAACTAAAAGATTTTGTTTGTTTTTATTGAATTGTTGTATATGAAAATAAGTTACTCTGTACACAAGTTGGTATATGCTAAAACAATTATTCGCCTCAGGGTCAGTGAATATGGAGAATATTTACCTCGCCGCTCGAAGACTCGTGTCTCGGTAAATATTCCCCGATATTCAGTTCGCCTTCGGTGAATAATTGCTAAATACTATTTACATGTCCTAAATCTTTTTCTCTAGGAACGACTTGTTCTACTGCCAACACAGCAGACCAGAACAAGAACATTGTCATACGAGGTCCCAGTACAGGAGTGATACAGTCTCCACATTTTCCACAAAAATTCCCTAACAATTTGTACTGCACATGGAAATTCCGTGCTCCGCCCAATCATGTCGTCAAACTATACTTTGATACGATCGATTTAAAGGCTAGCAGTTGCCTGGTGTCTTCATCGACTGAACTAAAGGTTGAAGATGGATACCCGGAAAACAGTCCTTTGCTTGATTATGTAAGGTGCTACAGCACTAGCATGGTCAGTATGAAGCAGTCTTTCACCTCGGTATCTAGTGGAAAAGCTCTCGCAGCTCGTTTTGCTACTGGAAGTACTACGATCCAAGGGTATGGCTTCCAAGCAAACTTTACTATGCTACCCGTTAAAGTTGGTAAGTGGAGGAGTGATGTGATGCTATGCGATATGATATGGTGTGCGTTGGCGTTAAGTGAAAGAAAACCCGTTCAAATTTCATCTTTGTTCATTTTGCGTATCCTTTTTGCCCAGTTTCCACAGCTACATGCGGCGAGCAGCGAACTGGATTCATTCACCTCACTGCACAAGCTTCTTCCATACGATCACCAGGGTTTTCCAACGCTTACGGATCAAAACATCCCAAGAACATGACATGTGTCTGGACAATCACTGTAGATCCGGGTTACGTGATCAAGGTACAAGTGAAATATAACAATCTGAAATTAGGATGTAGCAGCGATGAATATGCACGATTCATCGATGGTGGCAACATGAACAGCTCTACGATGTTTACCCTTTGTAATAGGAACACACCAGATACGACGTACTCTACAGGAAACAACGTAATGATTGAATTGAAAACAAGTTCTTCAGATGAGCGTGGTAGTGGTTTCTTGCTGTCCTACATGGCCGTCAAAACAGCTCCCTTTTCGTACTCCTGTTCTTCCAACTCAGCGACTTATTTGAAGGATTCGACATTCCGAATCGCTAGTTTTAACTATCCTTTGTCCTACCCTAATAATGCGTTCTGCAGGTGGGCGTACCGTGCAACATTTGGCAAACGAGCTCGGCTCAACATTACGAAGCTAGAGCTGCAGGAATCGGCGAACTGTGAAGCGGATTATGTGAGAGTTTTTGGATCGAATTATTATTTTACTCCAAAACTAGGTCAGTTCTGTGGGAAACCAAAGACTCCCATTGTACTGACGTCGACCGGTGACTCCTTGGCGGTAGATTTTCGATCAGATTGGATGGGACGGTTTCCTGGTTTTGAAGGGATTTTTGAGGGAATTCAAGATGGTAAGTAATACAATGAGCAATAGAGACCTTTGGCACGACGTTCTTGCTAGGTACCGCAAACCCTAAACTGCAGTTCTCGACGTCAGGTGTTTTCCGTCAAACTTTCAAGATTTACCAAGGCGTGTTGCTGGAAGAGCCGCCATATTGAATTTCATTGCATGATTTACACTACCAACTAGGAACCACCCCTCCAGGGCACGCAATTAACGCTCGCAAACTCGCAAAATGCAGGTGAAATTTTGTATTTACAAGTGACAAAAAATTTAACCAGCTAAGTTTTGCGAGTATGACCACAGTCCAGAAATTGAAGGACTGAAAAGTTTAGAACCGGCATCAAGTAACGTTTTTTATTCACCGCGTCCGATCGCTAGTGACTTTGAAAATTTTGCTAATGAGAACAAAACTTACTAGCAAGGTTTTGGTGGGTTTAAAAGTTGATTTCGCGCCCTGCTCTCTCATTTCCTCCCCTCCCCTCCCCTCCTTTCCTCTTCTCTCCAGATCTCACTAACTGCCCTAAAACAGTCAAAATCATTAAGGATACTTTGTATTGTTTTGCTTCTTCTACGTAAAGATTTTTATTATAAAAATCCCACGCTTTCGGGAGATCAATGACCCATCGCGCTTCCACATTTACGCGTTTATTGTTTTGCAAGCTTGTAAAGGTAGTTTTTATCATTGTCCTGAAGTTGAATCATTGACTCAAAAGCTTGGCCGGATTTTTGTCAATAAATATATTTACATAGRAGAAATAAAAATTCAAACATCAATAAAACCTACGTACATCTCCGTATTGAACAATAAGAATACGTCAGTCCCCAATTTTCATAGTCTTTTAGTCTTCAAAAACTGGGTGAAATATTATAATCAGATTATACAACTTTGTAAAATAACTGTTCTAAATGTCGTCTTCTGATTGGTTGGGAGCACGTGCTTTATGAGAGCACACAGCACGCGTGTGCACTTCCAGTTTCGTCATTCTTGTAATTTCTATTTTATAAAAGCTGAAACAACTTGTTTGCTGTGCTGTGTGGAGCTATCAAGCTTCTCCTAGCACTTCTTTCATGTTCTGCCAACCCCTGCGTGCTTCATAACTGCACACAGCACGCGTTCTGTTTTTTATTTCTTCATTAGCATATGTATGGATTATTTGAATGGTTACTGCTCCAGATTTTAAACCTCTTCTAGGGATGTCCCATTTACTTAGGGAAAAGAACCATCAAACCACTCCTAGCCATGCTGCCATTGTCCATCCTTTACTAATCAACCATCCTACCAATCAACAGATTCCATTGGAAGCTGCAATGTCCAAGGACGTGACAATTTAATACTCCTCAATGGCACGAGTGGAACCTTTTTCTCTCCCCGATACCCCAATACTGTACCCAAAAGCATGTCGTGTATATGGCATATTACTGCAGCAAAAGGAAGCCACTTCAAGCTTACCATCAGAGACTTCAATCTTGATTATTTCTGTAAAAATGATTACCTAGAAGTAAGGACTGGCTCTCCACAGGACCCGTCAAGCAAGCTCATAGGGCGCTACTGTGGACATAAAGAAGTTCCATCTATCTTCTCCCCAGGAAACAGCTTATGGGTTCATTACAAGTCCAATGACCAACTATCCACAAGTCGTGGATTCACAGCCACATATGCTGAAGTCAGTGCACGTAAGTATAAAGGATATGCAATACATAGTCGCAGAGGTATCCCRCCAATATCAGAGAAAAGACAAAGCTACCCCACATGAAATATTGTCAAGAAACCACAGGTACCCCACAAGAAATATTAGTAAGAAATGACATGCAGCTGCCTCTTAGAAAACAGCTTTCTATCTTCATGGGTTGGTTGAGGGGGTCTAAGAAGAATGGAATGGAGGACCCTTCCGCCCCAATCCATACCTGCCCTCAACAGATAAAGCCTCCTTCCAAGATGTCCTTAGTGACTGTACTTTGACACTAAGAATGTCTGGGTTGAAGGCTACTACAGATGTTGCCTCTTGGTATTCAGGAGTCATTTCTCAAACATTTTGCATCTTATTTTATCCAGTGCCATTGTCTATATCATGTCGCAGCTCTGGTCAACAGAAAATCAAGTCTGCTTCAGGCCAGATAGCTACCTATGACTACCCACTGAAGTATGAAAACAATGTGTCTTGTAAATGGTATATCACTGTGGACTCCAGCAAGAGAGTCAAGTTCACTTTCRATTCGTTTAGTCTTGAAGACAGCAGCGGATGTAATGGAGATCATGTGGCTTTCTACGATGGTTACTTCGGTGACTTGATTGGCAAGTATTGCGGAAGCAAGACACCGGATCCAGTGTATTCCAGTGGATCCACCTTGTACATAAAATTCGCCACTGATGGAAAGGGTCGTTACAAGGGATTCAAAGGATCGTTTGAATCTGTTCGTAAGTATTTGTTAGTGAAACGGATTTTGAATGAAGAACTTCAAGTACTGCAATACATACATACATGATAGAGTATGCAGAGATGGTTTTAATTTTCATTCAAARTGATTCACCTGGTCATGGCTCTTTTCTTTGATTCTTCTTACCTGCTCATTCGTACTACCATCTACTTTCATTCTTATCCCATTTATTCATTCATATTCCATTTATTCATTAATTCTTTCTTTCACTCACTCATTCATTCATTCAGTCATTCATCCATTCCTCCATCCATCCATCCATCCATCCATTCATTCACCTATCCATCCACTCATACAGCCAGCCAGCCATGCAGCCCATCTAATCAGTAGATATTAATTGCCCCCATTCTATCCACAGTTTCAGTTCGTACAATTATTATGATTGTCGTCTTCACACTTATTGGAGTTGGTCTTCTGTTTTCTCTGATTGGCTGGTGCATCAAAGGGAGGTGCCTTGGCATGTGCAGCTCAGGTCCCCAGCCTCTCCCAGCTGATGGTACCTCTGTGGCAGGATCAAACTTCCAGCTCACAACCATGCCTACAGAAAAATAACAGTATGATGAAAGAAACTCAAGCTGCATTGACACATTTTTAAAACAACAGAGAACCTGCATCTTGCTTTTGAAAATCTGAAAACTTCTGGAACTATTTTAAAAGAATGTAAATATGTGCAGAAGTGCTTTACATATAATTTTATTCTCTGTATGCAAGCTCTGTGTCTTGAAAATCTGATATTTGTGCAAGTAATAATTCTGAGTGATTTTTTTTACAGTATTCTATTGCAACACAGTTTGATACCAATTGCTTACCTCAAAATTATAATAGTCWGTTCAAGGATGGATCCAGGAATTTTTGAGAAATGGACCTTTATCACACGGCGGCCATGTTTATTCTCATGAGAATAAAAACCTTTGATTGCCCAGCAATATTAATTCTCAAGCGCATGGTGGAATCTATTGTTCAATCCAACATGGCTGCTGCGTGAATAAGGCCCATTACTTCAAACCTGTGAAAAAACTAAATTCTAGGATAAAACAATCAATTGAACCCATGTATGGTGTGGGGTTGGGGAGGGGGGGGGGTGAGGGCTGGACAACCTGACCCCCCTGGATCTGCAACCTTGTGTTTTATAATTTTTACTGAAATAATCTGAACACTTTGTTCCTTTTTATATATGATTGAACATGACAAGGCCATGATCTTAGTGGGTGGGGAGGGGTGGGTGGGGAAAGGGCATGGAATATGAGGAGATCATTTAAAAATAAAGCAGAGAAGAAAGGGGGAAGGAAAAGGGGAAGGAAAATAGAGAGGAGACCTTGCATTAAACTGGGTATTAAATGGTTTTTAAAATGATTCTTAAATGATYATATCTGCATAAACTTCTCAATGTAAAGTTTTTGAAATTTTATTGATTGATATTAACAATGAGATACATCATTTTGCATTTAAAAAAGTAATTTTTTTAATATATTTATCAATTTGTCTTGAAAACAAATAATATATAATGAATTTCTAGATGAATGAATTATTGAATCAAGATGTAAAATTTTCATGTGAAGATTAAATATTACAGAAAAGGTTGTCCAATTGTACCCCATTTCACTTGTACTAATATATATGTGAAGGAATAAATGAAGGGGATGGATGGATGGATGGATGGATAGATGGATGGGCAAATGGATGGATGGATGGATGGATAGATGGAAGGAAGAAAGGATGGATGGATGGAAAGACTGGAGGATAAGGATCATTCATTTTTTATCAGTTATTCATTTATACTTTACTGGAGGCAATGACTAATACAAGAACTCTGTCCCCTCCTCTCCATTATAAAAAACAGCCCCTCCCTTGTGTCCATTCTTTTTATTGTAAAAGTGATGTGTGAGAGTCAGATTTTTTTGTGTGGTCCCCCCTCAAGAGCCTGATTTCTTAATGACCTCCTTTGCTCCCCAATAAAAAAATTAATAGCCTGGCCTCTTGGTGTCGAGGAGAGCAAGGGGTAGTAGGGTTCTTTCTTGTTCTCAAGAGCCCCTCGGGAGCTTTAAGAGGTCCTTTTACATCAGACATGGAAAGACATTTGAAATGGTGACCTTTTTCTTGTATTTCTCCTGTATTAATTAAATTTGTTTTCCAAATTTACCCCAAAAAAACGCTAACAAGGCATTCTGCCCACAAGATTTAAATTCCAGAAGAATTTTGATTCAATTGGCAATGACAGGTATTTATCTACTTCAGGTGTGGTCACCCCCCCGCCCTCCCCCTAAACACACACATGTGATATGACAACGAATATTCTGAAGTGTACAATGACATACCTGTTATTGAAACTACTTTTTTCTTTCATTCTACCAAACAACACCCGAATTTTCCATCAATTAAAAATGAAACAATTATCGTCTTTTTAAACATTAATGTAGTTAATATAGAAACGTTTTATTTTTTGTTTGTTATTTTTATGGCTAAAGAAAATTACTTAAAAAAGCAAAGAAAAGAAGATATAGAGGAAAGATAAAGTTTTTGCATTCAAAGACTTATCTTTATTTAGTTATTTTATTCGTTACTTATTAACCATTATCGCAAAGGGTTGAGTTCAAAGCATATGTAAATTGGCCCTCAAACCACGTGTGTCGTAATCACAGGTTTATACCGGCTTGGAAATTAGTAAAATAATTAACTTGCTATTGCTTGAAGAAGAACYATATTCTCTCTTAATTCTTCCTCGGCTTTTGCGCTAGAAAAAAGTACAAAGTTAAAGGATAATCGGTGCTGGTTCAAAACGTTCCCCCTGCCCCAGCCCTGGACAGTACACCAGTTTTAAAAAGCGTAAGGAACGCCTTGTTAGGCTAACATCCGTGGCACTGTTTGGAAGGCGCGATATTCGAGTCTAAATATTCCAAACAACTGCTTTTCGCCTACACAAAGGTGAATAATGATGAATTTTGCTGCTACTCTTAAAGGTAAGTATAAATATTATGTACAAATACGACCAGTATCTCGTCTGTTCGAAGCCCATGTTTATGTTCATGTTTATCTTTTGTGCACATCAACTATAAAATAAACCTTCCATGATTGAGCCTAATCGGGATATTATATTCCTGTTTAATTTATTGTTACTTGATTTWAAAATATTTGTAGTAAAAGTATGCATCTAAAAAACTGTCTTTAGAAGCAATAAATCTAACAAGAACACAGGTATACCCAAGCTTATTGGCCGACATATAGTAGCAGTTAGATCGAATTGATGGATTTAAAATTACGTATTTGTTCTAGTGGTCCATAAATATGGGGTAAACCCTGTGGAACATATAAAAATACGATATAAAAACTTCTGGAACCAAACTGATTCATACTCTTCTGCCGTATTCAATCCATCAATTAATACGTTCGGCACAACAGGCCTAATTTAGTTCGCCGTCTGAATCAGCAATCGCTCCAACAACGATTCGGATTCGAATCTAATTGCATTAGGTATATTAGGAACCGGTCTTAAGTGCAATACAGTAAAAACCCGCGTATAAGAACCAGAAATTTTCAAGTTAGCCTATAAAACAGGTTCTTATATAAATGGTACTTAAATAAAATTTAGGCTAACAAGGTTCTTAAAATGGATTAATTATATTTCCATATGAATTTCATTGAAATACATTAGTGCATATTTATATAGTGGCTATTCTTACGGCAGTGGAATTTCGAAGTTTTTCGAGGATTTTGGTTCTTAGAAAAAAAAAAATCAAATGAAGACACCAAGAATCGAAACCCTAACCCTAACCTAACCATTAGACCACGAAGTGAATTCGCTTGAGTGCCTTCATTTTTAAGTCATATTTAAACGATGTATCATGCATCAGAACGTGTACATAAATATTTATTATATAGCTTAATGTATGCTATTTTTGACCTCGAAACAATTCCATATTGTTTTCATTCAGTGCCTCAGCGATYATCTATTAATTAATGCCTAAAAGCAGAGCAATGCATAATAACATGATTGTAGTGAGCGGTGTGCTACATACGCAGACTGCAGATTGCAGACCAGATCAAAAGAAAAAATCCAAATACATGAAATATGTTTGAAAAATTTGTCTATAAATTCAAGAAGCATTTAATGTCCAGGATTGCCGTCACTGACACGCTTTCAGTATAGTAAATTTGTTGTTAGTCATCAACGTTATTGATGTACGGTGTCAATCAACCCGAGCTGCAGTAATATGAAATAACATGGAACACAAAAAATTGTAATTTAAAGAAAAAGATACATGATCATCATCAGAGTTAACCCCTAACAGGACCTTATATATGTAAAAGATTATTTGCTGATTTTCATTGTTTATTGAAGATAATTGTCAGAAAAAGAGATGTATCAGGTTTTTGATTGCATAAATGTGTTTGTTATTTATGAAATTTGGTATGTTTCAAGTTGGCTATAACAGACTATATATCCATCCCATTAAGTTTATGTGCAAATCAATGTACAATTTCAACTGACCCTCCCTTCCCTTYCATTACCTGTGTTCTGTTGTCTGTTTTTAATAATGTTAAATAAGTATCTTACTTTGAATGATTTCAGCTCTGCTTCTGGCAGTCACCCTAGTCCAATGTGTACATGGTAAGTCCCAATGTAATAGTTTTTTTACATGCAAGTATTCTTTTGTTGTAATATTTATATTATCATACTAGTATAAGTATTGGTAGTATATAATTACTTTAGTTTAGAAATTATCTATACCCCCCTTGAGGAGGAATTTCCTTAAAGACCCCCCCCCCCCCGCCACCCCCAAAAATTCCAATTTTTTTCCATACAAACTCTGTAATTTTTGTTCTTTCTCTGACCCCCACCCTTCTTTAATTCCAAATTCTTCTATGGGGTGGGTATAGATAATTTCTGTAACTATGCATTGTACAGTTTTAATAGTTGTTTTCAGTTTTGATTCCCAGACTTGGCATCACATGTGATTAAAGATTGATACGTCTCTCCCTTAATTTGAAGGTTTTGGCTATGTTTTCTGATTTTCCTCCCTCCACAAAACCTAACTAGCTAAATTCCAATTCAATATGTGAGTTTATAGTCATCCCCTGACTTTGATCAACGCAGAGGAAGTTTATTAAGGTTTGATRAAATTGTTTGTTTTTGAATTGAATTTTTAGGTGCTGACGTTAACATCTGTAGTAGTGACAAGAGTGCAGAGAACCAAGTGCGCATTAGCGAAACCAATGTAACACACTTTTCAAGCTCCATTAACCAAAATCCACAGGCAAGAATGATGTGTGCCTGGAAGATTACTGCACCTCCAGGTTACGACATTAAAATTCATATAACTGTGGCTCGATGGAGTGAAGACTGTGATGTTGAATATGCCCGGATTTACGATGGTGCCACTTCATCTGATGCATTACTTTGGGAATTCTGTAAGACAAAACCTAAAAAAGTCAAAAGGTCAGTAGCTTTGTTCTCCAGCAGTGAGAATGCTAGGATTGTCCTAAAAACTGGAAATAATCCAAATGATACCTCATTTGGAGGCATGGCATGGGCTGTGAAAAGACCAACTCAAGGTTAGTGATCTTTCATTGGTTACTATGGCAACTATATCTAGCTGTAATAAACCTGCAAAAATTCAAGTTTCAAATTCCAATTGGATCTCATTGAAACCACTTATAAAATAATGTCCTATACCATCATTTCCAATATCATTCCCATCAGTTCCCACTTTCATTATTTCCTACCTACATTATTTCCCATTCCAGTTATTTCCAATTCCTATATTTCCCACTTTCATTATTTCCCATTCCCATTACTTCCCATTACTTCTCATTCCCATTATTCCTCATTCCCATTTTTTCTTATTCCCATTATTCCCCATTCCATTATCCATTTACTAGCTTGGAAATGCTTAATTGTTAAATTTATCAATTTTTTTAGTTTGTACCAATAATGCAGTATACAACCTTGCTTCCTCTTCAACTATTGCGAACTTCTCAAGCCCCTACTACGACGAAAGGTATCCATATAATGCGTCATGTGGTTGGAAAATTGAGGCACCAGCTGGAAAGATTGTAAAGCTGCAGTTTAAAGACACCCGTGTYCATTATCTTCATCCTATAATGGTGTATGACGGAGAGGATGATAAACAAGAGGATCTTATTAAATCGTTATCATTGTATACTTACAAGCCAACTGATCCTATCTATTCATATGGAAGAAACTTGTTTGTCAAGTTCAAAAGTGGACCAGAATTGTTGTCTTCTCAGTTCACTGGCTTCCTGGCTTATTACTCTGCTGTTGATGCTGGTGAATAATACATAGATTTTTTCTTCAATACTTTTTCCATTTACTGTCCATATACTGGTACTGCCTTCTTCCACATCAGCAACTTAAGATAGACTGTCTCAGGGGAGGATCCAATGATAATAATAATCAATCTTTATACAGGAATGCCTAAGTCGCAAGTGTGTTTTACATTAGGGTCCTGTACAGGTCCAATATYTTGGCTGGGGTGGGGGATTTGAACTGTCAATTTAAACAATGACCGTAGATTCGTGATCGGCTAAAAGGGAAACATAAAAAGAGGCTTCCAGCTTCTTTGGCTGAGACAATCAATATTATCTAATTAGGGGGTTTGTAGCTGTCGTTTAGGGAGTTTGATTCTTACCTTGCTC